CGCAGATTCCCTCCGGCCGGGACTTACTTGCACTTGAACTCCTGGACCAGGTCCCGCAGGCAGCGCTCCTCGTTCTCCAGCCGCTCCCTCTCCCCCATCACACATTCCAGCTGCTTCCTCAGGTTGCAGATGAAGTTCTCGAACACGGGCTCCAGGTTCCTGCGGGAGGCTGGCAGGACATACTGCTGCAGCAGCTCCCACTTGGTGGTCAGCACCTTGTTCTGCTGCTCCAGCAGCCTCACCTGGGGGCGGGAGGGGTTGGGACAGTCAGGAAACCCCCTCCTGGCCCGGCCAAAAAAGGGGTTTCTCCACTTGCAAAAGGCAAAAATCGGAATTGCAAATGGTGGAGCGGGCCCGGCATCTCCCGTGAGCCCGGGCTGGTCCCACCCAGGACTCGCATCACAGGCTGGGCAACATCAAAGCCTGTGCTCTGTGCTGATCTGGGCTCAACCAGACACCTCCCCTTCCCCCGGAGGATCCTCAGCCCCATCCAGGGCAGGAATGAGCCTCCCTGAGCACCGGCAGCTCCATCCCGGATCTCATTTGGGTGTATCTGATTTCAGCTCTAACCACGGGTACTTATCATGCCTTTCACTGCCAGATTAAAGGCTCTCTGAGAGCCTTGATGGGTCATGAATAAGTCATTTCTCCGGCTGGGAGCTGCTCCTCCCGGCTTGGTTCGGTTTTTCCAGCTGCTGAACAACTCCCAAGGAAAAGCAGGAGCAGATCAGACACAGCAAATTTTCTTTGCCGTTTGAAAAGTCATTTCCCAGAGCGGGTCTCTGAACAGGCACGAAAACCCTTTAATTTATCTAAGGAAACAATGATAAATTACGTGTTCTTAGGAAATCACCAAATCATTTCATTGCCAGAGCGGAGGGACAGAGAAATTAAAATGATTCATTTGATTTTAGCCAAGTCTGTCCTTCCCCACCTCGATGAAGCACAGCTTTAAGAATGCCAAAAGTCCTTCGGGGTTCACAGAGTTGTGAGAGCAATGTCAGGTTCTGCACTTGGAATACAACTTCCTGGTTTGCCTCTTTACATTCCCATGCCTCCATCCCTTCTCCCACAGCTCTGGATTTACTGAATCTCTGGAGCTGCCCCTGCTGGAGCTCTTTGGTGGGTTGGTGACCATCCAGAGGTGCAGCACTGGTGGGGTTGCCTCGGTGGGAGGCTTAAATCCAAAGTGTCCCAGGTGAGGCCCACCCTGCTCCATCAGAAGGGTTTGGATGTCAGGCTGAGGGAGAAATATCTCCTGGGGCATCTCTGGATCGTCTCTAAGGTCCCTTCCCACCCAGCCAGTCCATGATTCCATGAGCTTTCCTACTGGAAGGGGTCCCTGTCCATGGCAGGGGGTGGAACTGGATCATCTTTAAGGTCCTTTCCAACCCAAACCATTCCATAATTCCATGATCTTTCCTAACGGAAGGCATCCCACGGCAGGGGGGTGGAACTGGATCATCTTTAAGATGCTTCCAACTGAAACCACTCCACGACTCCACGATCTTTCCTAGAGGAAAGTGTCCCTGCCCATGGCAGGGGCTGGAACTGGATCGTGTTTAAGATCCTTCTCAACCCAACCCAACCTGTTCCCCAATTCCACGATCTTTCCTAGAGGAAAATATCCCTGCCCATGGCAGGGGCTGGAGCTGGATCATGTTTAAGATCCTTCCCATCCCAACCCGTTCCACAATTCCATGATCTTTCCCACTGGAAGGAGCCCCCTGGAGACCCCACAGCCCTCAGAGTGCAAGGACACAGGGACAGAGGGAGCCATTAACCCTCACCCTAAGCCTACCCCTGCCCCTGCCCCTGACCTTGTCGATGAAGCAGGCGAACTGGTTGTTGAGGTTCTTGATCTGCTCCTTCTCGTGGGTCCTCACTTGGCACTCCTCGGGGTCCACGCCCACGCACAGGGGCTTCAGCAGCTCGGGGTGGATGCTGACGCC